ATAGCCTCTTATATCCTGTAAATTGCATTGAATTTCTTGCTAATGTTTCCTAGAACCCCAAATTGTAGATGGCAGAGCTAAGTGCCTTTGTCCCTACTCTGCATTTTCTCACAGGTAGGGACCTCTTCATAATCAGTCCCAGTTCCTCTGACTTCTACTTTATTCATTGCTCTTCACTGATTTACCACTCCTCTTTTTCTTTTCTCTGACCATTTCTTCCAAGAACTCGAATAGATTCATGATTGGCAGAACAGTAGCCATGCTACTTTCTTTTCCCCCCTCACTTAAGCACCATTCAGCAACAACATAATCATAGGCCTGGTTCCTTCACCAATCTTATGTACCTCATACCTAATTTGGATGTACAATCAGATCACATTGGAGGAGGTGCTAGACTTTTAAACCCCATAGCTCCGCTCTCAGGCAGAGGTTCACAGGGCCAACAGTGGTTCTGGTTCAGTCCTGAAAGTCCTGGCTCAAGGGTTGTGTATTCACATCATTTTATCATTTTATTCTTACTCTGCATCCTTCCAGACACATTCTTATTATTATTTATTCTTTCTTTTTATCAATTCATTTCTTTTGCTTACATTTATTGTAGGTTTAATTTCTGTGAATCCAGAATGCCTGCCTTCACCAAGTGTCCTAGCATCCATTAGCATGCACAGGTAGAAGGGGGATCCTGGGATGTAGTTAGGGTTATGTCAGTGACTGTGGGGCAGGGTTATTCTGCATGGTCTGGGGACCAGCCACTGACTTGAACAGTGTGGTGTTGGAGTCAAATCAAAAGAGAAAACCTAAAATTTGTAAAGATGCTGGGATAATCTTGTCCCCAGTGTACTTTGTGCTCCTTGGTGAGAGAGAGAAAATATATAATCATTTTTTTTATTTATAGTAACACAACTTTTCAATTTTCAGATAGGAACAGAGTCACATAAAGCACCTGTGGCTCAGGCAGAAAGAACTAAGAGGCTTTATCAGTGAGAAAACCCTTCCTGAGCAGCGGGTCCCTACACCCTGAAACAGAAGTCTTGCTACCTCTCATGAACCTTGTTGTGCTAACTAGAGTCAGGTCAAATACCGGGAGCTTACTTTTATCCATTGAAGTAACTCTGGAGATCCGCAGAGCAAGTTACCCTGGCAGAAATTTAATAAGGTCAGCTTCAAAGACATCTTAGGGAAGTGGCTGGCAGAAAGCTTTCCTCTGGCTTTCCAGGACAATTCAGTGCTTCTGTGAGGAAAGTTGTGCTCCAGGATCCAGGAACTCTGCCATACACAGTGTTGGCTGTGGTCACTTCCGAACAAGGAGTGGTGCCTGGAAAAATGCATCTGGGCCCCTCTGAAAGTCAGCCAGGTCATATTCAATCTTTTAAAAAGATGTTTTGGAGGAAGAGATCATAGAGGAACAATGTACAAATAAGCAGTCTTTTTATATTACCATAGTTTCAGAATGAACTTCACACCTAATCTTAGCCAAAAGGCTGAGAAGCGAACACAATGAACTTTAAAAGTTTCATTCTTCTATCTTTAAGGTACAGACACAAGACTTACTCATATGTAAGTCTTGCAAGATTTATTTCCTCTTGAGAATTAAGGCAAAGATGATTAAAATTAGTGTAATTTTCTTTAAAAAGAAAAAAAAAGATACATGCTTTTCAGGGTATGCCTCCCCTTTTCTCAAAAGCCTGTCTCAATAGTCAGAATGATACAGATAATCAGATTGTTATAGGATACAGCACCTCTGTACTATGCCTCCTGACCTCCCTTCAATATACATATAATCAGTAGATTTGGGTGCCCAGAAATTTTTATTCATGTATCAATGGAAGAAACAATATTATGGACAAGCTTAAAGTCCTCTAGAGGAAGAAAGACTCACATACAGTTACACCTTGTGCCTGTACCCAAAGGTCACCAAATTAAAAATAATTCTTAGAGCTCTCCTTAAACTCAAAGACAAGTGAATACAAGAAAAAAAAATATTTCAAGGAAGGAGGCTCAAAAACTTTTGGTTCATGCACAGAATATTTACTCTCTTTCTCTTACCACTGCATCCAAGAATAGCATAATTCAGTTTATGTCAGGCATAACTCAGCTACATCAACCTTTTCATTTGCAAAGTTGGACTATGGGGAATGAAAGAAATCTAGAAAACATTCCTCAAAAACAACACACATTCTTCTCATGGTGTTTTAGATAACATCAAATTTGTACTTCTCTGGCTAAGTCTATTATTTTTTTCTTGGCATCATCCTTGACTCAAAGTGATTTTATTTCAAGTCCTCTTCACTGTGTACATCTCAGTTGATCCTTGTATATAGTCAATGCCATTTGTATTAACCATAGAATGTTGTCACTATTTATGTCTGTGTGATTCCTTTTCCCTGCAGAGACACTACAGCAGAAAGCTAGTGAGCCCTAGTAAGGGTGTCAGGGAATGGAAACCTTTTATACTGTGGCTGATAGAGTAAATTAGAACAAATCCCAGAGTGGGAGGTATTGACAAATAAAATGGAAAAACCTCCAATCAGCCCACACTGCTTAACAAATAAAAAAAAATGTGCTCAATGACAGGTCAACAAACGCAGCAAAAAGAAGCAACTGATGAGTTTTCATGCATGTGACTTTGTTTCCCTGTTTAAAAAAGAAAGGAATTGTCCTCTTTGTGTGTGTACATGTGCATGTGCACACACACTAATTTACATGTGTCTTCCTTAACAGGTGTGGTCTAGATGGGAAAAAGGAGAAATTGGATCAGTAGTTGAAATAATATGATGTCAGTACCCTATGGTTCTGTGGGCTGCACATGAACTTCTAGAGTACAAGTCTGGTTGCACATTTTCTTAAGTCAGATTTCATCAAAGCAGAGCTTTGGGCAGGTGCTCAGGTGCATATGATTTAATATGTAGATTCTTTACAGTAAAACCTCTATAATGATAGTGTGATTTCCCTGGAGTTCTGATAAAATATCAATCCTCTGAAAAAATTCCAGGTGTAAACTATTGACCAAAGCATATATAAAAAGTAAGAGATGGATGCAATGCAGTACAGGAGTTCTACACAGGTGGTCCTGTACCCATGTGGGATCTGCTATATAGCAAAACCACCTGACGACCTTTCAAATACATGTACCAGGGTTCCACCTAGAAGATTATTTCATCAGATTTCAAGTATCACATGGGCATCTGTGTCTCCCACCATGTGTAGCTCTGAGGGACAGTCAACATGGACAATCACTGCCCTAAGAAGGAAGAAATTGAGCCAGAAGCTGAGGATTGTTGAGACTCTGGATATAACCATTACTACCTTAGGGTCCAGGAAAAAGATCAGCTCAAAATATGTGAAAGACATACCCCACCCATTTCATTGTTAACACTCTGTTAAAGCAAGGTCTGAGGATATTGAAAAGCACTTCAGAGGGACAGTGTGGGCACACTAAGCAGCAGCACTCCCTATCATGACATGAGAGTCAAGATACCACCTCAAATGCTCATGGGTGCAGCTTCCTTGAGAATGCATGGGGTGAATGTATACATTCACAATGTCAGTGCAGAAGTAACATCTAGAGGGCCTTCCAGAGATAACTAATGGAAATTCAAATATTGCATAAAGGAGCTACGAGATACCAGAATTTAATACTAGAATCACGCCATTTGCATGTGCTGGCAGACAGAACTTTGAGCCATTTGCAGTACTACAGTACTTCGGGAAACAGTAACACTCAAACAGAAAGCCCTGAAATCTCAAGACCTAAAAAATTGTTATATACATTATGACAAGTTCATTCTGTGAAACACTATTCAACTACCAAAAGTTAAGTTTACAATTATGGTGACTGTAGTTAATAGCAATATAATGTATACTTGAAAATTTTATAAGAGTAGATTTTAAGTATTCCCATCTCCCCCCAAAATATGGTAAGTATTGTGCAGCAATGTATATGTTAATTAGCTTGATTTAGCCATGCTATAGTGTTTCATAGGTCAAAATACCATGTTGTACACCATAAAAATACGCAGTTTTTGTCAATAAAAGGGGAAATATGCTAAGCACTTAAATATTATGGGTAATATGTGCAATGATATATATTGACATAGAGAAATGTTCCTTATATTCTGTTAAAGTGAAAAAGAGCATGCAATTCTCTATAAGGTGTGAATATGTTAATATTTATCATTTCTGGAACTATGAATAAGTTTTCTCTTCACTACATTTCCTTCATTTAATATTTATTATTTTAACAATTTTTAAAATGTAATTTTAAAAAATTGCCAGGTGCAGTGGTGCACACCTATACTCCCAGTACTATTGACAGCTGGGGCAGGTAGATCACAAGCTCAAGTCCAGCCTGAGCAACTTAGTAACTTAGTAAGAAACTGTCTCAAAATAAAAAATTAAAAAGGGGTAGGGATGTAACTCAATCCAAAGGCTCTGTGTTCAATCCCCAGTACTGCCAAATATATATAGTATAGAAAACTAAAACACAGTAAGTACAGTATGGCCTATAAATTTTCCCCATGTAAGAAATTACCCACCTATACTAAATCTCAGCCAGGATAAGCACAATTTGTCTTGATAATGTTATGAAATTCAGCTGTTGTAGATCTACACAGCCCCACAGCAAAAGAAAAGTAGACATTTGGCCCCGGAATTATTTTTTTTTCATTAAGTTTATTGGTACATTTTAGGTATACAACAGTTCCATTCATCATTGGGAATTTGTACCTTTACATAATATATCTTGGTTCTCATTTTTTCCCTATTCCCCTGCCCTCCTTTCAACAACATAAAAATCAATTGTACCTTTTTTTCCCCATTAAGTTTATTAGTACATTTTAGGTATACATGACAGCTACATTCATCATTGGGATCTTGTGCATTTACATGCTGTATCTTGGTTCTTATTTTTTCCCCACTCCCTGTACTCCCTTCACCCTCTCCATCCTTTCCTATTTAAAAGACTTGGTTTCCATTTTTTCCTTTCCCCCTATTTTTTCCTTTCCCTTCTTCTTTCCCCTACCTCTCCCATTTCCCCTACCCCTTTACACCTTTTCTTTCTATTTCACATTATCAATTATACATTTTGATCCTTATTTACATTTTTAGTTCCTCACACCAGAGAAACTATTCGGTATTTACTCAAAGTCAGAACTCACTTTTCCCAGGCTCGTTCCATGATAAAGGCAGATGAGAGGCTTTTTCAAATAAAATGAAGAATAGATATTCCTAACTACTAAATAGATCTATGGAGTTTGGAACAGGAATTTATTGCATGTAATAGACTTAGCTCTCCTATTGCCCTTCTTTTGCCTAACTTTTTGGAAGAGTAATTTTAATAGAAACAAATACAAATTGACTTATATATTCTCAGTTTAGGCTACAAAGATAAATATTATTGACATATCAATCCCCCTAAATAAAGAAAATTGCCAAAATTTTTAGAAAAGAAAGATAAGGCAGCTAACAAAGTTTAGGAAGAAGAATAGTATTGGATTTCTCATCTCAAATGTTGGAAGGTAGATGGAAATTTAAAAAAAGATTTCCCTATAAAGTGTTAAAAGTTATTTAAAATTAATCAAGAATTATAAAATGCAGGACTACTAATCAAATATAAGGTGAATAAAGGTTTTTTTGTTTTTTTTTGGTACCGGGGATCGAACTCGGGTCCTTGAGCTTGTGCAGCAGGCGGCGAAACCACTGAGCTAAATAACCGGCCCAATAAAGGTATTTTTAATGCAAATTTTCAAAAAAAATTATGTCCCACGCACAATTTCTCAGGAAAATATTAGATTTTTATGCTTCACCAAAATACAAGAATGTACCACAAAAGAAGACATAGGAATCAAGGGACCAGGGATCCAATACAGGCCAGAGTGAAAGGGAATTCTCTCAATAGCAAACATAAGACCAACATTTCTTCAAGCCTGGTGACAGAGAATTCCAAGACAGAAAGAGGTCAAAAGGGTCAAGGAGCTATTTCTCCAACAAAAATACAGCTGAGAAATTATCTGAGAGTCTGAGCTCCACAGAAAACAATTCCAGATTTCCTAATGGCTACATAAAGCCTAGATATTTGCAGAGAATTAAATAAGTATAAAAATAAGCCAATTATCTCCAGAAAAATACAGATAGTAGTTTAAATAATAAAATCTAATTTTAGAATATTATTCTGTTGAAAGGAAACAATATTTCATTAAGAAAAAAGGGTGGGCTTTACCAAAATTTTATTTAAAGAATGATAGTAGAGAAAGAGAGGGATAAATAAGCCCAACTCCTAATGTCTCAAAATAGGAAATCCAATAATAATAATAATAATTTCTAAAATTAATGAGTGAGCAAATGGCAATGGCTTGTGCTGTTTACCTATGCAGAAGTAAATACTAGAAGGAACACCTAAAGAACTGATATTCTCTGTCAGCAGAGTGTTGCTTAAGGATCTGAATTGATCAAGAGGATCATGCTTTTTATGTGTTAGCACTATATGGCTTAAATTTTTATTACAATATTTCAATGCAAATAAAAATTAATTTAGAATAAAAGACTCTTCAGTGCTCCTGACTGTCAAGTCTTTAAAGGAACAAAAAAATCATACCTATTTTTCACATCCACCCAAAATTAAAGCTTTATTTTTACCCTTAAGGTTTTATCCACAGAATACAGACAAATTTCTGACCTGCCAATTGAGTTCTTTCAGGAAGTTAAAAATACCAGCAGGACATAAAATCAGTGTAAGCATATTACATATTTTTTAAAACGGCTAATATTTTAATTTATCAGTATTATATTTTGTGAATCACGCATACCAACACCTGCAAATGGACTTGGAATTATAAAAAGTAAAATTTTGGAACTCATTCCTACATAATTATGAATAATAATGAAAAAGTTTCCAATAAAAATACCCTAAGAACATTGACATTTTGCATGAAAATTAACCAATACAAAAAAATAATAAAGTCATACTAAAAACCTGATACTTCTAAACACATAGCACATTATAAGCTAACACTAAAACCCAGTTATAAGTTATGAAACTCTTGTGTCTTGCTTATTCAACATCAAAACAAACAGACCTATTAGTGTATATTATGATGTAGAGGCTTTTTACATAAATTAGCACTAAGGCCTGAAGAAAAGCCTGGAAATTCAGAATTTTCTTCTCAGGAGTCCATTGACAATTTCAAATTTTTTCATAAATACAAATAAGTATTTTTCCTGCCTTGAAAGCCTGAATAGAGCTGTATTCCAAACCTGCATATATTCTAAATTTCTGAGAATTTTAAAAGGAATAAAAGGATAATGCTTGACTATATGTGGTTTTGCCAGCAGTACTAACTTGAGAATGTACTCTTTGTGCCAGATGTAGCTCTAGTTTACAGGGACTTCTCTCTTTTTCACACTGGGGATCAAACTCAGGACCTTGCACTTTCAAGGCAGGCAGCGGAACCACTGAGCTAAATCCGTGTCCCTTACAGGGACTTCCTGAGGACATCTTGGACATTACTGTACATTACAGGAACCATGTCATCTTCATTAATTATTCTATCACCACAGATGACACTACATGCCAATTCATTTGCTAATGTGTTAAAATTAATCCTAAATATTTAATATTTTTTCTATTATGTATATGTCACTTATTTTAAAATAGTAAATCCTCCTTGTATTCATCCAAAAAGTTAATGGCATAAAATTAAGCCAGATGGAGTGATCTATACTAAGTTTTGATTTGTCAGAATTGTAAAAATATGACATAATTTCTGACTTCAGGAGAGTAGATGTATATAACAAGTAGGCATTTGCATAAGTGACTATGACAGAAAACCAAAATAATGGTGTTTTAGCTAAGACATAAGTTTACATCCTTCCCTATAAAAGAATTCAGGAGTAGGCAGCCCAGGGCTCTTAAGGTAGATTCTCAACCCCTGCAAAGAGGCTTCTCCACCATTCCTCAGTTGAGCAAGATTGATGCCAGTGTTCAAGCCGTCAGATTCATGTTCCATGAAATGGAATGGAGAAAGGGGGTTAAAAAGAACAAAGTTACTTCCAAACTGCTCCAAACTGTAAATTTCTTCTTGCATGATTCCACCTAATACAGAGAAGCCTAGAGAAGGCAGTTTTGTTCTTGGTGGTCTGGGTCCATGAAGAGCCATGATTCGTTCGCTCTGTGAGGAAGGAGGGAAGGGATATTAGAAAAGACAGCTTCCCAGCACTGCCACAGCATGCCTGCTCACATGCTTCTCTAAACTGTATCAGAAGGAAATAATCATTATTATTCAATGGAAACTCATACAGCATACTTGCTGCAATATTACTAATGTACTTTAATGGGATTTTCTTCAATGCAGCCCTTCCCCCCCAGCAAGGTGTAGCTTTATGACAAAAATACCTTCACATTGTCAGATTTCAATTTATTGCTATACATTTTATCTATGAAAGAAATGTAGAGCTTTTTTATATGCATATGTGCTATTGTAACTTTATAGGAATAACAGAAGTATCTTACCAACCTTTACCGTATAATATATATTGAGAAAATAAGTTTGGGAGGTGCTATAAAATATGAATCTCAAGTACAAATAGATGTCATTGTATTTTCTGTTCTACAAGTGACTTTGAGTTTCCACATATCCTTTGTAGTATATGGTACAGCCGCAGCAGCAGAAGAAGGGCAATATCTCTAAGCTGGTAAGGAGACAACAAAAGCCAGTATAAATTACTACTCCTGACCATGGTGTAGCATGCCCTCAACTCATCTTAGCAATTTGCAAATGTGCAGTCCTGGGTTTTTATGCCAATAGACAGTTATGGCTGCCAAAAGAGTGTGTGTCTTAATGTTTTTAAACTTAACAGAAAATCCCTCTTGAATAGTGGCCACTTTGTGAAGAGACCTGCTCCATTTTAAGTTGATAGCTCTCTGTCACATTCCTTTCCAGATTGCATCAACTGAGGAGAAAACAACAACAACAACAAAAGAAACCAATGAAAATGTAGCACTAGTGTATCTGTGACTGTCATTGCGGATCTCTTGAGTGTTATCACTAAGTCTGGGCCATGCACTGCTATGCTGGCCCCACCATTCCTGTCCCATCAGGCTTGGAGTATTGGAGATAAAAGGTGGCTGTGACCAGATCATTCTTAGGACACAACAGGTTGAAAGAAATTTTATTGCCTTTCAATAACTACACAGATGTTCATATTCCTTGGAAGCAGAAAAGACCCTAGCTCTCTTGTTCTCAAGCTGCAAGAAACAAATATAAAAGTTAAACTGACATTTCCCAATACCATGGTTCTCAGGAGGCACAGGTGTTGGTGTTCTTTTAGCTTGTTTTAAATTAACTAGCACAACCATTCATCCAAACAAAATGTATGCTATAGAAAGTTGTGGTATTTTGGCACCATGCAGCCTCAACCTCAGAGAAATAACTTGTTCGGAGAATAAATATTAAGAGGACTTTTCATATGTTCAGCAGAGAAAATTCATATTGGCCAGCAGGGAAAAAACCCAGGCAACCCCAATTTAAAAGCCTTCCAACAGAGTTGTTCCATTGGAGTGAAGAATTATAAATGCAGAATGTTTCCTTAACCCAAGGTCAGCATTCCTCTCGTTAATAGGGAATTAGGGACTTCTATAGGCTCTCGCAATGGAGCTAATTGAGCCTGCTCTGGCAGTTAGGATAAGGAACGCATGCTCAGCTGCCTAGCAGATAGAGGTGCCAGAAACACAATAGAGTAGAAGGTTGACCTCCAGAATAAGGCAATATATATCTACAGAGTAAAATAAGCCAGGGGCACCAGGCAGCATCTGAAGAAAGAGGGCACAAAATTCACAATGGCCTGGGACAGGGCAAGGGAATGGAGGCTTTCCAAAGAGGATGAGATCTTCAGAAAATACTTAGCAGTATTTGTAAAGGGATAACCCAATATTTTGCATATCATCTATTAGGCAACCTTGTAAAATATTTCAGTAGCCAAGGTTAATAATAGAATTGAATTTAGCATTTGATTTTTAGGAGAAAGCATTTTCACTGGCAGCAATATAATTTTAAACATATCTTGCATTTTCAGTATTTCTTTCCATAATTTATAAGCAGAGTGAACTAACATATAAAAGCTTTCTATTAAAGTCTTACATTGTAAATGATAAAATAATTCCACAGAGGGGAGACCTCCGCTGGTTTCAACCAAATAGCAACCCCAATCACATTTCAAAATTCTCTGTGACATTCACAGAAGTATGAAGAAGTCTAGTGTAGCTGGGATAGAGGATAGAAGGTCGGTAAAAGACATATAACATTCAGACACTCTCTGCTTTATTTTGGTTAAAGCCTGTGATGTATCACTGGAGAGAATAAAAGCTGCAGCTAGTTCTCTGTTGCAGCACCTGGAGCTGAGCAGCAATTTAATAAGCTAGAATGTCAAAGAACCAAAGGATGTATTTTGATAGAGGAAAGTAACCTTTGGGTTTGAGAAGTTTTCAAATGGAAACGAGCTGATATTTTCATTTGTTTGCTTGCTTAGTATTTTGGGGGGAGGAGGGGGGTTTCCAGAAACATAGTATTAAGTTAGAAAAGATTTGTAACATCTGCCATTCATCTGTACTTGGGAAAAATATAAAAAGCTAGGTAGTAAAGGTGTGAACCTGTGCTGCACGGAGATGGTGCTGTGACTGCAAGAAGAAGAGATGGAGGAGGCACCTCAAGCATTCACAGGAGGGCAGAGGGCAGACAAACAAGCCAGCTAATAAGAAGCAGCACCCCAGGAGGCCACAATCAAAAAGTCTTGAAAATGCCAAACACAAAAAACCAAGACTGGAAGCAATTCCTTATACATGAATAGAACCTTAAACACATTTGAGCTTTAGAAAAGAATCAGATGAGAAGAGATTATGATCTCCCTTGTACTACCTCAGAAACACTGGCTCAAAGAAGTGAAGTGACTTGTTCAATATCTCATAATCTAAAAACTTAAAACACTGAGTATCAGTGTCATAATATTTAACATTTCAAGTGCACATACGTCTTTGCACTAAGCTATGCATAAACATTTAACACTACCCTTGTTAAGGGTCTTTCTCAGTTGGCAATAGTAAATTGCTTTAATTACTCTGTAGAAGAAACGCTTTAAGTAGGAGGAATGCCTTTTCTCCAGGACCCAGAGGGAGGGATTTTCACGAAGCACCATCAAGCCACTATCACACTTTTCAGGAGGTGATAAATTTCTAACTATAAAGCAAGCCCATGTGTGGGAAGCTGTAGTTGTTCCCTGGTCTTCCACCTGTTTGGAAGAGGCTACAAAAGAACCCAAAGAGGCTTCCCTGTTTTTCATGGCCCATAACTGAATGGGAAATCTGCCTAATGTGGGTTTCAATTAACAGTATGAGAGCCTTCCATGCTAAGCAATCTCTGCAACTTTGACTCTACTGTTAATAAGGGAACTATCTGGACAGGGTTCTTTTGCTTTGCCTTTTTAAAAAAGTTGTTATTAATTCCAAATGGAAGATAAAGATACAGTCCACTAAGACCCACTTGGAAACACGAATGGTATAAAAATCTTTCATTCTAAGCCTGAGTGCCATTAAAATTTCAGATCCAGATATCAAATTCTGGTAATGACAGACTGAGTAACCTGACCCAACCTCTGAGCAGATTATATTATATAGTATACTATATATACTATATATATATATATAGTATATATAGTATATATACTCTTCTTACAATCATAGTTTTAAAACTCTTCTTAAAAGGCTGTATGTAGGCTATTGCCCAGAGGTTTAAGAAGATGAGCCCAGAAGTCTGGAGCTGCTTTTCCTTTGCAAATTCCAAAAGAAATGTCAGAATGGATAAGAGACCAAATTATGCCCTCTGAAGTTCTGCTCAGGACAGAAGTTTTAAAATTAATGTTCAAACCCACAAGAACTCAGGGGAGGAAACAAAATATTGTACCCTAGGAATAAGTATAAAGAAGTTTTTAGGGATTTGTATAGACCAGGGTTGAGATTTAAATCATTTCAATTTTTAAGATAGAATTGAAGTGATTCAGCATTACTAGGGCCACCAGGACACATCAGGCTGGAAGAAGCAAACAGGAGTCTTTTCTGCAGAGAAAGAACATCATAATGGACAGAAAAACAATTTTACACATACAAGGCCCAATACAATCCAAACTAATATGGCATAATTTGACAGAATGATAGGAAAAAATAGAAAAATGATTAAAACTGTAAATTGACAATTTAAAAAATATATATCTAAAAAAAGAAAAAAGAAAAAAGTATATATCTGAATGGATAACAATTATGAAAATATGCTCAAAATTTCTAGTAAATGAAAAAGTATAAATAAAGAATAAGATAACAGTTCATCCATCAGGTAGGTATAAATTATGAAAGGCTATCATTTCTCTTATTAGCAGGTAAATAGGAAAATTAGTATTAAAATAATTGCAGTTGGAAATCTCAACTTATGCCCCTATTCTTTTAGTACTTATTAAAATTAAAAAGATATTTGTTCTATTCCACTTATGAGACTATTTTATAAGTTCATTATGTCATCAATATTATTGCTGCATTATTCTTAACAGCAAAAAGAGAGAGAGAGAAAGACAGAAAGAGTCCATTTTCTATTGTCAGTAACACAACACCATAGACCGGGTGAGTTATAACAAAATATTTATTTTGGCTCACAGTTCTGGAGATGCAAGATTGGCAAGCTGTGTCTAGTTATGACCTTGCTGGCAGAGTCCTGAGGCTGCATAGAACATCATGTAGCAAGAGATGGGGAGTGTATGCACATGTGTGCCTGCTCTGGTCATGTTCTTCTGAACCTACCAGGATTCAATCACAGGCTCCAGCCTAATGATTTTCATCCTAGTTACTTACTTTCCCAAATCCTCACCTTTAATACCAGAATTGAACTTTCCACTCTCTTAAGCAATGTGATTAAATTTCAAAATGTGAGCCCTTGGGGTGGGGGCCACTGAACCATATTCAAACATAGAAACGTACTCAACACTCTCTAGTCAATGGAGAAATGTGTCAATTTATATAACCCGGAATGTCAATTCCCAGAGTTCCCTTCCCTTTATGGTTGCACGTTAAGGTTGATCACAAGACAGGTTTTCCCATTATCTGAAGGTCAAAATGAAACAGCATTCATTGCTT